CAAACATGTTTGTTTGGTATGCTTGTGCTCATCTAAGCTTCTTCTACATTTCAGCTACCTTTTTTTTTTTTTTTTTAATTATTATTTAGCAATTTTAGCTAATTTCAGCTGTTTTCAGATAAATTCAGGATTTTGTGGTAATGTCTGCTAGTTTCAGCCATATTAACTTTTCTGCTAATTTCAGCTTGTGCTCATTTCGGCTTTCTTCTGCTAGTTTCAGCATTTTCTGCTATTTCAGCTACTATTTAACTGTTTTTATGATGATTTTAGCATTTTCAGCTAATTCCACATGTTTAGCTTATTTCAGCTTTTTGCTTCTTTCTGGTTGTTTAAGCTTTTTATCTGTTTTTTTTTCAGCTGCTATTCAGCCGTTTGTTTTTCTCTAATTTCCTAATCTTTGTGCTAATTTCAGCCTATTTAATCCTAATTCAGCAAATATGTGTTCCGTCTGCATTTTTCTGCTAAGCTAAGCTTGTTCTACATTTTCAGCTACCTTTTTAGCATTTTTAGCTAATTTCAGCTGTTTTCAGATAAATTCAAAATGTTGTTGTAATGTATGCTACTTTCAGCCAAATTAACTTTTCTGCTAATTTCAACTTGTTGTGCTCATTTCAGCTTTCTTCTGCTAGTTTCAGCATTTTCTGCCATTTCAGCTATTAGCTTTTTTTATGCTGATTTTAGCTTTTTCAGCTAATTCCACATTTTGTAGCTATTTCAGCTCTTTCTGCTTCTTTCTGGTTATTTAAATTTTTTTTTTTGGCCTTTTCAGCTACTTTTCAGCTGTTTTTTTTGTTGTTGTTGCTAATTTCAGCCCTTTTTTTTTTAGCCAATTTACAAATTTTTTTGCTCATTTCAGCCTATTTAATCCTAATTCAGCAAACGTGTTCTTTCTATTTTGTTCTGCTAATTTAAGCCTGTTCTTCTAATTCAGCTACACTTTAGCAATTTTTTAGCTAATTGCAATGTGTTTTTTCTGCAAATTCTTAAGCAATAAGCATTCACACTGTATTTTTGAAGGAAATGCAATATTTCTCTAGTTTAGTACGTCTCACTTCCCACAAACTTTGAAAATGTGGATCTCACGGACCCCCTGGACATGTGGCTAACCCTACAACTGTCCTCCAGCCTTCTGCTTGGTCTCATTAATGTCTGTATTATCAGTGTGGCTGTTGACCTTGCTCACCTTCTTCGCCGGTGACAAACTGGGGCAGATCCAGTCTGTATTTGTGTCGGCTACTGTATGTGGGCCATGTCGAGCAGCTAATTATTGTCTTCAAGGCTGACAGCCTCACTGTCTGTTCATCTTCTCTTCCACACGGTTTAATTAGTTTCAATAATTAGACACCAACTAGGCCACAGTGCCATTATGTCACACTGATATATCTAGTCCCAACCGGTTCTAATCTGAACGAGGGGTGGGGCTTTACACCACCTGAAGGAAGTTCAATATCCAAACCGTAGCATATTATTCCTAACATAAATCCAGGTGTGCTTCATCTAGACTATACCACTGAAATTCAGGTGGAAGTGAAGCTGCCAGGGAGCAGCTGTTGCTGCCATAAGGCCTGTTCATCTGTTCTTGCAGGAATTAGCCTTTAGCATAGTGTAAAGAGCCGCAGTTAATCCCTACACGCACATACATTAGAAGGAGATTACACACAGAGGAGGTCGTTAAGGGAGAATATAAAGAGCTGGTGTGTTTTTGCTCTGTGTGCTATCTGAAAATAAAAGCTGACAGAGACTGTGATGCATTATTGATCAGACAATCACCACAAAGAGGGAGAGTGTGTTAAAGATCTGCGGGCAGAAAGCTTTAATATTCTGATTCAAACATGAGGAACTGCGAGGCAAAGACTGTGTGCAGCACTGAAGTGAACTGGGTCATCATACACAAGCAGAACTTCAACACTGCAGTCTTCAGTTCTAGCCAACCAATTACTGTCGGCACCAATCGTCTATCGTCAACACTAATTATTTACCATTAACACCGAACCTGTGATCAATAACGTAACCGCTTTCTGCTGAGGCCAAGAAAAGTCAAAAGATCTAACACGATCACGTAGAATCACACATACCTAAATACATTCGACTTAGATTAGGCCTTAATGAAACCAAATATAACTTAATTTAACTGCACATTAAAAACATTTTGAATGGTTTGACAAATGCAAATAAATAATAATTACCGATATAGTGAAATACATTATTTAATTTTATTGCTCAGAGGTTGAACCCACAATACTGTATGTCTTGTATCGTCAGGTTTATTTATTCATTTTTTGGGTAACGTCTATCCATGTGTGTTATAAGTCTTGGCTGTCATAAAGACAGAGTTTTATATCATCTGGATGAAAACGACTCAGACTGAAAAAGTCTTTGATAAAAGATGAAATGCTTCAACAAAGAACCCATCCAGAGGACCTGACTCAACCTTGTTAGATTTGTGTACCTGGATTGTTGCGCATGCATCAGGATGCCCAGATCTCTCTCAAAGAGACAGTCTTTTAACCAGCAGATGTTTCTCATCCCTGTTGGTCATTCCACATTAGCACTGCCATCAAAACCCTGATCCAAGTCCAGAACTACCTCAGAACCCTGATCAAAGCCTGGACCATCACAGAACCAGGCTTTTGGACTAGACACTCCTTTTCCTTTTTGATCTATTTTTTTCCAAAAAAGATTGAGTATGATGATCCATCTAATAGGATTCCACTATGTGAAGGCATCTTAAGCCCCGTTTACACAACAACGATTCAATGAAAACAGATTTATTTCCCATTTCTATTAACACGTTTACACAAAAACGTTCTAATTACACTCTTTGTTTACACAGCAACTGTAGCCGTTGAAAAGGTGTAATTCCATCACCACGCCACTAGTTGGTGCTATGTTCTTTAAAACTTGAAACTAAGTGCGAATGTGTAAACAACAACAACAACAAAAACGTTCTAAATGTTCTAACGTTTCTCTCAGGAGAAAACCGCTATAACAAAAGTCCAGGTGATTTCCAAACTGAAAGCAGTCCGGGGAAATTAGATTTATAGATTTATGAATCAGAAGCACAAACATTGCTCTGGTAGCCGCCATTGTCGATAGTTTCTTCTTCTGTGGATTGTAGGAAGACGTTATGTTTTGCGTCACACGGTCCCTGACAGAAAATATATATTTTTTCTGTTTACACAACAATGGACACCGGGACGTTTTTGAACCATCGCACTCTGTAACCCGTGACCAGTGGTCATTCCATATGTTAACCCTCTGGAACCCGTTCTCAAATTGTGCCATTGTCAGAGAAAACATTTGCCGTTTTCGTGTAAATGAACAGTACAAACACAACAAAACTCGTAACACTTTACAATAAAAGGTACACAAAATTTGCTTAACTACTAGGGAACACCTCAAGAACGCCTCATGAACTAATGGGTAGTTAACCAGTACTTACTGGGGAACACAAAACCAAGCCTTATTAGGGGGACTACTGGTTTGTTCCCACCAGTGAGGTCACAGCTCTTAAGAGTCAAAAAACTGTTATTACCAATTTTATTGGATTTTCTTTTTGTAAGCATATTGATTATTGATGAAAGACATTATCAATTTCATAATCTTGTACTGCTGTCATCGTAACTATGTATGACTATCACTGAGTACCAAATCATTGCCTGGCTATTATTTTGTTCATTGATGTAGTGAAGCATCATACCAAGTACTTACTGAGGAGCCAATGGTTACTTAATCACTACTGGTTTGTTCCTGTGGTAACAAACCAGTACTCCCCTAATAAGACTTGGCTGTGTGTTCCCCAGTAAGTACTGGTTAACTACCCATTAGCTCCTTATTCATTCCTTTTTGATTTTTTTTGTAACTACCCATTAGTTCTTGATTAGTTCCTATTCATTTACAAGGTAACTAACCAGTAGTCTCTTAATTAGACTTGGCTGTGTTCCCCATTAAATACTGGTTAACTACTCATTAGCTCCTGATTTGTTCCTGATTCGTTTGAGGCGTTACCTAGTAGTTAATCAAATTGTGTGTACCTTATTGTAAAGTGTTACCATGAAACTCTTCCATTTTCACCAGAAATCGTTTTCGTGGAAACAGGGCTCCAGATGGAGCCCAGAGAAGTTGGCACCGCTTCCAGTTAACATCCTGCTTCTTTTGTGCACAGGAAAGTTTGTGACTATAACTCTGGATCACAGAACAGAAACGAGTTAATGACGACTGCCACCAGTACCTTTAGCAAACAGGGTACCGGCAGAAATTGTACTACAATTAGTCAAAGACCACAATGAGGAAAAAGTGCCAGGAGACAGAGATAAGGAAAGTAAAAATAAACATAGGACACTGAGAATGTCAACTCTAAATGTGGGACAAAAGTAGAGAGCTGGTTGGCATGATGCAGAGAAGGAAGGTAGATGTATTATGTAAACAAGAGACCAAGAGGAAGGGCAACAAGGCTCATAGCACAGGGGCAGGGTTTAGAGGAGCTAGGAAGTGATGCACAGGTTTGGTGTCAGAAAGGAACTAGGAAGGACAGATGGTGGTCAGTTTTTGCAAGAGGATGGAAATGGCTGCAGTCAACACCTATTTAAAATAGAGTGGAACATAAAGTGACTTATAAAAGTGGAGGCAGACATATACAGGTACATTCTTGTAGAAGAGGAACCTGGGGGAGGTATGGAACTGTAAGGAGTAGATGGAGATGCCAGACAACGTGGTGGATGGTGGTGTGCAGAATGATTGTTGTGGGGAAGAAAAGAAAAAGAGTAAAGTCAGGGAAGAAGACCAAATGGTGGAAGTTGAGGAAAAGGGTCTGGGGGAAAGAAAGATCTTCCAGATGGTTGGTCTACTACAGCAACAGTGATTAAACAGACAGGTAGGAATGTGCCTGTTGCGTCTTCTGGTCAGAGAAAAAGATAAGAAAACTAGGTGGTTGAGTTCTAAGAACGTCTTACAGTAGCATTTTGAGAGAAAAGTACCGAGCTCAGAATTTTGAACAGTACCTTTCTGAAGAAGGGGTGTGGTTATCAGAGCTTCCTGTCTGGAACTCCGTTTTCTGCAGCGCTTGATACCAAAGAATCTGCGCCTCTTGGTGGGCTTGTAGTGGTACTGTGGTGGCTCCTTCGGGGGGTCTGATTTGCTCAAAGGGGAAGGGACAGGTAAAGCATAGCCGTGGCGAGGTTCTAGTGATGGGGGACAGGAACTAGTTCGGCGCCGATGGGTAAGGACAGAGCAGGAAGGGCGCTGCACGTGAAGGGATGAGAAGGACATGTGGGGTTTTCCATGAGCTTCTGGAGTGAGGAAGACTTTTCCATGAGCCTCAGGGGCAAGAGACGGTTGAACATGGGGGTGCGGTAAGAGTTGCCAGGGACTGTTACCTGGACATTGAAGGTGAGGTGAGAAGGGCTTTCTATCACCTGAGGGTGACGCCGGCCTGTTTGCTCTGCTGGCATTTAGGCGCAACATGGCGTTTTGCTGCTGATGGATTTTGGCGCTGAGCAGGCGCCGCCTCAAACTGCCCTCCGTTTTCGGCTGGAGGATGGCCATCTTGCCTGGAAGCAGCTCATCTCGCTCTTCGTCGGGTCTCCTATTCCAGCAGTGGGATGTCACGCCAGGCCCCGCCCCCTCCCCACTGAGACACTCCACATATGAAATCATCTTGTTGTGAGCGGTGATTGGTTAAATGATGAACTGTTCAGCTCCTCTTCATATAGTTTCCAGCCAAAAGTTTATTGGTTTAACAACAAAAGTCCAACAGCGGTTCCAACAGTTCATCATAAAAATGATGAAAAATGTTTGTATTTTCCAAACCCTTCACAATAAAGGTCCCAAAGATTTTTCTTGTTAGCAGATACATTAAAAAAAATATCAACTCTGTAGAAGAGTAATATTAGCCTTTCAAAATAAAAGCATTTTTCTCAGCTTTTATCTTCGGGGTAAGTGCTTAAATCCTTTAGTCTTTGTCTTAAGAGAAAGATGTTCAGTTTGCAAATAAAGTACATTAATTTAAAACTAAAACTTTTAATATTAATTCAAACCGCACGCAATACGACTCCAGATTATTTTTGAATCTTGGTCTTTTAAAAAAATAAACAATTCCCCCCAAAAATAGTAAAGAATGTTTTCTTAAGTTTTTGGAGAAAAACAAAGAATTCTGGGAAAAAAAAAAAAAAAAAAGAAAAAATATCAAAATAAAGATTATTTTTTTCTTCACAGCAAAGAATTCAGGTCAGGTGTGGAAAAAAAAACTTTACATCTCAGCTCAGCTTCCTCTCAATCCTTCTGTCCTCCAAAGATTCAAAGTTTTCCTCCTCTCCGCGAGTCCTAAAGTCCAACAGTAAGTGTGTTTTTCTGCGAACGTGTCGACAGAGTTCTGCTCCGCTTCCTCTCCAGGTTTAATCTGCTAACAGGGATTATCCAGGTCTACAGATGGCTGGTGTTAAACAGGTTTATACCTGGATGCTCATGCCACATGTTGCTGTGTTACCGTGTCATTTCTGAGCCTCAGAACCAGAAACCAAAAGGTCAGGGTCCATCACGGCCTAATTAAACCTCAGCTGCACGCATAAATCTGCTGATCCTCCGCAGGTTTGTGATGGAAACCCAGCAGCGAGCCACACAACAAGCTGACAAGTTCAAACATGGATTAATCCTCTGCCGAAAATAGTTCCAACAAACACGCAGAGAACTGAAGTTATTCAGGGTTTAGCTCTTTGAAAACACTGAATTGATGGAAAAATAAGAAAAGAAGCAAATGCAGATGTTAGTGATGACAAAGGAACACAAAAGATGTAAAAATCATAAAGCAATAGAAAAAAGTCAAAGTAAACACAACAGGCTGACGAAAAATAAGCAGAAATAACATAAATAATAAAAAAAGAGATAAAATACCCAAAATGCTCTTAACCCCAAACTCTCCATTCTTTGACTTAAGAAAGCTCCTTAGATGAGAAGCAAAATTTTTATCTCATGCGCCTGGTTGTCTCATGCTGCTGATTATCTATGTTGCTGATCTCATGCTGCTGATTACTTATGCTGTTGATTACCCATGCTGCTGATCTCATGCTGCTTATTATCCATGCTGCTGATCTCATGCTGCTGATTATCCATGCTGCTGATCTCATGTTGCTGATTATCCATACTGCTCTCATGCAGCTGATTACCCATGCTGCTAATCTCATGCCATTTATATCCATGCTGCTGATCTCATGCAGCTGATTATCTATGCTGCTGATCTCATGCCGCTGATCTCATGCTGCTTATTATCCATGCTGCTGATCTCATGTTGCTGATTACCCATGCTGCTGATCTCATGCTGCTTTTATCCATGCTGCTGATTATCCATGCTGCTGATCTCATGCTGCTGATTATCCATGCTGCTTATTATCTCATACCACTGATCTCTTGCTGCAGATTATCTCATGCTGCTGATTACTCATGCTGCGGATATCATGCTGCTTATTATCCATGCTGCTGATCTCATGTTGCCGATTATCTCATCCTGCTGTATTCATTCATACCCATCTAATCACCACAGACTCATGTTCAGGCTGCTTTTGTTATCCCGTATTGTTTTACATAAGTGTTTAGCCTGCATCTTAGATCTTTTAGCATACCGTCTGGCATTCGTTTAGCGTACATCTTAGTGTACATCTTAATGTATATCTTAGATCCTTATTTACTGTTTTTTTTATACTTTATATTTTTCTATTTTTGGGTATAACTGGGACCCTGTGTACATAATTTTGTTCCACCTCACGTACCACATGTGGTGGAAACGACAATAAAGTTGACTTGAACTTGAAACGTCCCAGTTACAAAATAAAGTCCACTTGTTTTGTTTTTAAAACTTGTTTGGAATCTTAACGAGACAACACGGTAAAGGACTAAATGGCACATACAAGCAGTCACAAACAAAGAACATGTACATTTATTTTGATTTGTGTATGTTAAGTAATGGGCAGCATGATGGCACAACTGGTAGAGCTGCTGCCTCTCAGCGAGCAGGTGGCCCTGGTTCAAATCCCGGTCCAGGGGCCTTTCTGGGTGGAGTTTGCATGTTCTCTCTGTGCATGCGTGGGTTTTCTCCGGGTACTCCGGTTTCCTCCCACAGACCAAAAACATGCATGTTAGGCTGATTGCTAACTCTAAATTGTCCCTAGGTGTGAGTAAGATAGTGAATGGTTGTGTCTCTCGTTTGTCTCTATGTGGTCCTGTCATGGACTGGAGACCTGTCCAGGGTGTCCCCCGCCCATCACACAGTAATTGCTGGACATAGGCACCAGTGACCCCCGTGACCCAAAATGGAATAAACGGGTAAAGATAGTGGATGGATGGATGGATGGATGGACATTTTGTCCTTCATCCAAAGGACTTCATCAGTCCCGAGGAGCCACAACAAACTGCGTCCCACAAGCAGCACAGTCGCAGTGAACCAACAAGTTTGATGGTGATGAGACGGTTTCTGGGACCCGCCCTCTCCACCGTTGACTCCTCTGAGGCTGCCACAGCCAATGTGGTTCAAAACATCAAAGTTCATGCTCAGTAATCCAGGTAAAAAAAAATCCAACAAATTGGATTGGTCCAAATTGTTTGTCCACTGTGGGACTCAGTTTGTTGTGGCTCCTCGGACTGATGAAGTCCTTTGAATGAAGGAAGAAACGTCTCAACCAAAAAAAAAAGAAACCGTCAAGATGACCTGACTGAACTTTGTTGGATTTTTTTACCTGGATTATTGAGCATGAACTTTGATCTATATAGAGTTTTATAAAACCCTAACAGGCGCTCTGGTCACATGATCTTGTGTCTTTGTGGTTCACTGCAACAACGGCAGTCATTAACAAAACAGGCAAACGTCTGTAATTGGCATTTTGGTAGATATTGGCAAAAATGAGTAAGGGCTGACTATGTAAAAAAAAAAAAAATTACTAAACAATAATAACGTATATATAATATGATAACATTAAAATGTATATAAAATGTAAACATGTTAGAAAGTTAAGTTACTGTAAAGATATTAAAATAGTTTGTTACAGTTTACAATAATTTGATTTGTGAGCTGTTTAAGCTTAAAAAAAATATTTAATAAATGGAACAAAACAAAATGTCTGATCTTAGGTAACAGGAAAAATAAGATGATTTAGTTGCAGTGATGGAATCTCAGTTTAATGAGTTCATAAAGTTATGTGTGTATATATATATATATATATATATATATATATATATATATACACACACACACTTTATTTCAACATGAACAGAATCAGTTTTACATAAAGCAAAGCGTGTTTTAGAATGAACATATTTCACAATATTCACTTGTTGTTCCAGTTTTTAGTTATTATGCAGCAGTTTAAAGAAACATGTGACCAAAACTAAAAACATTGCCAGATATTTTACTGAAGAATTTGACAAATCAGAGAAAGAAATCCGATTATATCTTTATTTTTATGAATTTCCCCAAAGCAGAAGTGTTTCTCAGTTCACAGAGTCAGATTATAGAATAATCTGGTTGGTATAAAATAGTTTTGAACTCTAAATCAATTAAACTTTGTGAAGAAAAACAATTACTCAAACTCATGGAACTTGATTTAGTTTGCAGTTTATTTGTTTTAGGATTAATTTGTGGAAGAATGTTTATGTCCGCACAGATGATTGACTCATTGATGATGAGTTTTATGCATTTGGAAATTGTATTTATGGATTAAAGTTTATGTGTAAAATTGGATGACTAAAATAAATGTATGAATGAGACCATAAAGAAACACAAAGCTACATATATAACAAAATTATAAAACATGACAATTTCAACGAAGAATCACAAAGAAGCACAGACACAGCTGCAAACATAATAAATCCACCAAATATAAAATCAATGGGATTTACCTGTCTAAATAAAGGTTGAATGAAAAATAATTTTTATATGTATTGGCTATGTTCACATTACAACAAATATGTCCTTAATCTCAATGGGACTTTACCTCGTAAAATAAAGGTTAAATAAAATATTATAATTCAATTCAATTCAAAAATACTTTATTAATCC